ACAGCTAGTCATCACCACCCACCGCCAACTCTTGGGCTACTCTTTTACTAACGAATAGTGGAATTGACCGTCACATTATAACGCCCCCACGGCTGAAAGGGCGAGCATGTTTGATGTGACGGGGATTCGAACCCGCGACCCTCAGATTACAAGTCGAGCGCCCTAACCACCTGCCCATGCCGGGCCGCAAAAATAATATTTTGACTGCTTGTTATACTACGGTATTGAAACTCTTTGTTTTTGCATAAGTCTGGATCAAATAGGGTGTCCGTTTTGCACCTCTGCAGAGTATCCTCGAGCAGAGGCGATGGGTATTTACAAATTAAACATTTTTTTAATTAAACATTTGCTAAAATATTTTCAGTTAAATGAATCAATTATTTGAACGTGAATAATAAATAGATATAAAAATAAGAATTTCTATACTATTGTTTGTACTTTGTTTGTTTGTAATTAAGCACAAAGCTACACAATGGGCTATCTGTGCTCTGCCCACCACGGGTATCGAAACCCGGTTTCTAGCGTTGTAAGTCCGCAGACATACCGCTGTGCCATTGGGGGGGGGGCTTCTATACTAACTGGATGATAAAAATATTTTTATAAACCAGTCAATAAAAGCTGATATGCTGAGGGACTTCACTAAAAGTCTTTTGTACATTGACGATAAAAAGATGTCAAAGCTTTAATGGTATTAGTAAAGCCATGTAAAAACCGTTACCAAACAAAATGCAGTCAGAAAGTGAATCTCAAATTCTCAGATAAACGACTTTCCTATGTAATTCTTGTACTTTGTAATATGACAAAGTTAATGTTAAATCACGAAGTTTCAAAAATTGTAACTACAGTTTGTCATCGAATGGTTACATTTCTAATCACAGGAATCTATCTCGTCTATTTGTATACACACCGTGTGCGTGTTTACCTGTACAGGCCTATAGACATTTTTCTTTACAATTTAGCATCCTCGAAGTTCTAGGTTATTATTTTGTGTAGTTATTACATACTTAACGTTTCTAATACAAAGTTTAACAGCTCTATAATAATTGTATTATATGAAAAACAATATTCTGCGTGTATCTTTTATCGATTGGTATTGTTTAAAAATTGTCGAATTAGAAAATTGTAATTGTCAGATGATAAGATTAACTGTGAACAGAAGATGTAGAATTAAAAGTTGTTTACATTGATAACTGTGGCGAATTTTCGACATCGTACATCTGACTGATACGGGGCATATTTTCCAATGCATTTTCCGCTGCCAAGTTGACATCATTCACAGCTATGACGTAATCTGTTACAAATATAGAAAATCAGGAACATTTAATACTATATTTAATCAAATGTCTTTATTCTTAGTATTAAATTCATTGCTTATGATACCAAAGAAAAAAAAAAATAAAAAACATGTGCAAGAATTGTTTGTAGTTAAGCACTAAGCTACACAATGGGCTATCTGTACTCTGCCCACCACGGGTATCGAAACCAGGTTTCAAGCGTTGTAATTCCGCAGACATACCGCTGTGCCACTGGGGGGAATTATGCAAAAAAGCAGATTTTTGTTCTCATGCAACTGGATTTATTGTGTAAGTTTTTAGTATATTCAGACTCAGTGGAGAAGGAAAAGGCGGCTGTACATACAATGTAAAAATAATCACCAATAAAGCGGTACAACTGACAGAAATAAAAAATGTTAAGTAAAATGTATATAATAAAAAAAAGTTATACCCACTTTTCATGATAGATTATTTACAGAACAACATAAATACAAAGTTTGTTTGTTTCAGATGTTCGTGCAAATCTACACATGGGCTATCTGAACTAACTGCTCCTAAATTTGGAAGGATAGACTACTCAACATCACCCACCTCTAACTCTTGGTTTATTCTAAACGAATAGTGGGTATATGCATTTCATTTTAAAATGCGTATAAACAGTGTGTAATCAGACAGAAGTTTAAATGAATCAACGAAAATATTGAGCAGTACATTAGCACAAACGCAAATGCTGAACAAATTATTTATATTTCAGATTTAAATGTTTATATAGTACACTTAAAGGAGCTGACCATATCTTAATAAATATCGCCACATTTTTCATCGCAAGTAAAGCTGATTTCATTTGCTCTGCGATCGAAAGATTAAAATATAAAAGAGTTTCTTTTTTTGGGAGAAGCGGGAAGAGTTTGGACCTGTAATAATAGGCGAGGAAATTAAGGGATCGCTTATTTTACTAAAATAGGATTCATTGATTGGATTTGTATACTACCCAATGGAGATTTATTAAATGGTAGACATACAGCCAAATCTGGATCTAACTATTACTGTTCACAACGAACGTCACTATGTCCATCTACAACCAATTTAAAGAAGAAAAACATTTATATGAACCAATAAGAACAAAAATGAAATAGTGGTCGTTCTGAAATGAGGACATGTTATGTAGAAAAGATAAATTAACTAGAGGGGCACTCTGTAGGGCCCATACCTCCGCTACGCAGCTTTGATCATATTCGGCTTTCAAAAAATCGGAAAGTGTATCCGTATAACAGTTGTCATCAACGGATACAGAACATTTTTGGCATGAAAAGAAGTAATAGTATTCTTCATATTTCCACCAAGTTTTATCAATATACGATCATTTTTGACTGAGTTATAGAGCAAAAATAGTGTGAAAAATCAGTCCCCATGTTAACAGATAGGGATTTTTTTGATTTACTGACCTTGCTGTGACCTTGACTTTTGACCTTGACCATCTAAAAATTAAACACTTCTAAGCTGGATCATAGTCCAAATCATTTCAGTCGTTTTCGAGAAATCTTGCTAACAAACACACACGCACACAGGGGGTGAAACAACCTTCGTAAATTGCAAAAAACAATCAAATATTCTAGTTAATATAATCAATATTCAAATGTTTTGAAGGATAGTCTTTCTTGGAGTGGCGAGAATATTTGATGAAGATGTCGCAAAGGCCTATTTACATGAACTACATTATCAAAACCAATAGAAAACATCAGAATTTTCTCTACATTTTAGCTACGACAAGGTACGACTATCATACGACTAAATAATAATATTGGTACCTCTAGATTTATCTTGAATCCAAAAAGGTGTCAGGTGATCAGTCATGTGATCCGATATGTAAATATCTATTATCATCAGAGCCATTTGGTTCCACAGACTTAATAGTCCAGTAAATATTGAGAAAGCGTTTATATAATAAGTCGTATGACCACACATTAATGCAAGGCTTACGTCAGTATAGAAAGTTTAATACGAGTGAATAAGAACGACTCGCTCCTACGTCAGAGTTGTTAGAAGGTGAATCACGTGCTACAAGACATCTTCCAAGAACATTCCATACATGTTCAATCCTATTAAAGTCTAGTGAGTTTGCTGGCAGGTCTATTCGCTAATATCTTTTTCTTCCAGAAAGTTTCTAACCACTAAGTCTAGAGGAGGCACACGTTATCATCCATCACAATAAAGTTCTGATAAATTGCACGTACATATTGCAACGTTAATGGTGGTAAGGCTGCATCTCTATATTGCTTTGTATTCCTAGTGCCATGGTGTGGCACATAAAAGTCAGTGTGACCTTCAGAACAGATCTCTGCCTAGGTCAGTTTGCCAACGCCGCTATATGCGCCTCTTTCCTTCGCGAAAATGTGGTTGAATCTGGTCCGGCCACTTTCCAAACGCATACACATCTCTTATCTGACTGCAGAGTGAAGCCTAATTTGTCTGTGAACAAGACGTCCACCCATATGTCTTTAGACTAGCTCATGTGTTCTTGACCCCACTAAAGACGGGATATTTTATGACGATCGACTAAATGAATGCACACCATCGTCCGTCTGATATAAAGGTCAACTTTAGGAAGCATTTTTCTGACCATTTGTGTGGTGACTTGTCGTCAATTCGCTGCTCTGACAGGTTGATTCAGTTGAGAAATATAAGCCTGCCTATTGTACTGAGCCAATATTGTCAAATAACGGTCATCTTGCAGGGTTGTCAACAATAGTTTGTCGTGTCCAGAACATGGATAACTATACTAATAGTCTGAAAACAAGTATACATCCAGCTTACCACTCTTTATGAGACTTGTCGTTGTCTAATAAGATGTTGTGGTTGCCAGCTTTTGGCCAACAACATATTGTCCTCAATGTCACTGATACGTCAAAATGTTGCGGTCGTGACCTGTTTCACTATCAGTCTGAATCTCTTTACATATAAAACTGTTGTTCAAACTAATGAGAACAAACTGTGTTTCCTTCACTTTCATATACCACTGAAATGTGCACACCAGATGACATGACTGGGTAAACTGAAATTGTTTTATATAACAATTAACTTAGGAATGCCATTGAGATTATTTAATAACAACAGCTGTACCTTGATGTAGATACAATATGGAAAACTCAGCGTACTTCTTAATTATTTTGAACAGGATTTATCAGTAACTTTGGTACTGAGCTCTAGGCCTGGCAAGACAATAATAGCCTTATCTCTTTTGAGAAAATTTTAAGGCAAAGCCCTATAGCTTGAAAAATTCCTTTAGATTTTTATTTTGCCGAGGAAAGGTTTTAGGTCCTTGATGGAGTACAGCTTCCTTTAACTTCAACTTATGTTCTTTAGAGGTAAAGTTTTCTGTTCTTTGAAATTAATATATATATATATATATAGGGTATTCCTAGATTAATGTTTAAAAAATCTGGTATTCGCGACAAAAGAGTAGTATTTTCAGTTTAATCAGAAAATTTTAAATTAAAGTGGTTATAGGTAGTTCTCTGACACCCTCTTTGTCAAAAGTACTTGATACATCATCACAAAAAACATGGTTCAATAATTGTCCAGCTTTCTTTCACACGTGCTATGCTTAGGACACATTTTCCAAAATCCCGTAAAGACTCATTCCTTTCTTAACTGTCTAAATTCAAAACATCCAAACACTAAATTCACATGTGAATTTGAACCCCCCCTCTTCTTGGCTATACTGATTACAAAATCTGATTAGGGATTTGTTGTTGATTATAAGCCCACATTTACTGGTTTATAATAACATTTTCAGAGTTTTATTGTTCCTGAATTCTTTAACGAAATGTAATAATCATCTTAATTACTAAAGCTTATAAAATTACCATTTCTGCTTCTTTTACTCAGAGGTAATTAATATAACGAAGACTTTATCGGAAAATTACTACCCTGTTCAGCTTATTGAAATAAGCAATCAAACAGATTATGTCAGAACTTATGAACAAGAGGAGACAAAAAGATCAACAAACAAACTGTAAAGGGTAAACATGGACCCATATAATTAAGCGCCTTAATGCGTCTAAACTGAGAACGGTAAAAAATATAGTAATGTTTAAAAAATTTACTAATTAACGAAGGAATTAAAAAACACGTAATACGGCGCGTACTATACGACACCCATCCACTTTCACCATTTTTGAATTATAGTTTGATTGGGTGTTATTTCGGGGTATTATCATGGTAGTCTAGTTGTTATGTTCATAGAGTTGATTCTGCAATTTTGAACTTTTTGATATTAATATTAGCAAGAGTTGAGATAACATAATCAATTATTGGTTTAATTAACATATACGTCAAAGTCACACTTTACCAAGTTGGTTGGGCAATTCATCACAGTAAGACACAAATATGGGTCCATGTTTACCCTTCACAGTTTGTTTGTTGATCTGTTTGTCTCTTCTTGTTCATAAGTTCTGACATAACCAATTATTGGTTTAATTAACATATACGCCAGAGTCACACTTTACCAAGTTGGTTGGACAATTCATCACAGTAAGACACAAAAGTTACTTAACTTTCCCTTTGACTAAAGCAAGCATGCTGTGTGCTGATAATAGGCCGATAATAGTCAAATAAAGCTCTTTAGCGGCGGATGCTGCTCGATGGCTGCTCTCCCATTGGTTAGTAGTTCAAAATTAGGAACGGCTATATTTAACACCTAGGGTTTTCTGACGTATTCATGCATAAGGTGCCATTCTGATTGAAAATTACATTTTACATTTTACATAATCATTTCAAATTAGGTAGTTCGTTATTTATTCATTTTAAACTAGGCCTGGCATGGCCAGGTGGTTAGGGCGCTCGACTCGCATTCTGCGGGTCGCGGGTTCGAATCCCCGTCCCACCAAACAGGCTCGACCTTTCAGGAGTGGTGGGCGTTATAATGTGACGGTCAATCATACTATTCGTTGTTAAAAGAGTAGCCCAATAGTTGGTGGTGGGTGGTGATGACTAGCTGCCTTTCCTCTAGTCTTACACTGCTAAATTAGGGACGGCTAGCGCAGATAGCCCTCGTGTAGCTTTGCACGAAATTCAAAAACAAACAAGAAGTAATTTACCTTTGATTGTTTGTAATTAAGCACAAAGCTACACAATAGGCTATCTGTGCTCTGCCCACCATGGGTATAGAAACCCGGATTCTAGCGTTGTAAGTCCGCAGACATACCGCTGTGCCACTGGGGGGCGTTTTACTTTGACTTTCAGATTCTTTTAGCATTTTAATATTTTATTATTGCCGTAACGTATTTTATATAGTAAGCATTATCTTCTATTTCGCTACAGGAAGTAGTGCGTATAGTATTATGTAACATTCTTCAGGGGCGTAGACTGGCACAGCGGTATGTTATGTAGATTTACAACACTAGAAATCGGGTTTTGATACCCATGGTGGGCAGAATACAGATAGCCCATTGTGTAGATTTGTTGGTGTTCAAAACATCAGTACTCTATCACGAAAATCTTTTTTGAATATTTTTATCGCGACCATTTATATACATTATTGGTATTTAGTATTAAACGCACTAATTTATAAAAAATCAATCATAACATTAACATAGTTATTACAAATTTGTAGAGACTCATGGAAATTTCTTATAATTTCTTTGTTATTAATAATTACAACAATACAAAATAGTGAAAACGTAAAAAGTTTTTATTTATTATAGAATATCTTTCACATATGTCTTATTTAATACAAACTGCTACTTATTGGTAATGCGCCCCCAGTGGCACAGCGGTGAGTCTGCGGACTTACAACACTAGAAACCGGGTTTCGATACCCGTGGTTGGCAGAGCACCATTGTGTAGCTTTGTGCACAATTAAAAACAAACAAACAATTATTGGTATGCAGTGGCTCATCGGTGAGTCTGAGGGCTCACATCGCTAAAACTGGGTTTCGATACTTGCGGTGAGTATAGCAAAGACAGCCCACTGTGTAGTTTTGTGCTTAAAGACAAACAAACAATTGGTAATGCGAACCATATATCGAATAAACTGTATATGTAGATGTAACTACACGGAACGCATATGAAAGATTGCTGGAGTATGAGCCAAGATAACTTTATTGGCTTACGAAAAATAATGATTCATGAGAGCAGAAACTAGTAAAAATAGACTATAACTTGTTTTGTTGTTGTTCTGAGAAGCAGAACTCTTATTTCCAATGGATGGTTTCTTCGAACCCCTCGGGTCCCCCAGTGGAACAGCGGTATGTCTGTGGACTTATATCGCTAGAAACCAGGTTTCGATACCCGTGGTGGGCAGTAGCGCAGATAGCTCATTGTGCAGCTTTGTGCTTAATAATAAACAACAACAACGATCCCCTCGGCCTGCGACCTTCATCTTAACGTTGTGAAAATGTGAGTTTAATACCGTAATAGTGTTGCTGAGAAACTACGCGATAGTATTAAACAGATTTTGGGCATCTCAGCATAAACAAAATTTGTGTTTTAGAAAAAATTATAACATATTTCTATCCCCAGAATACTATTTTTATGACTCAACATACCGCTTAATGAAATATTAGTATGTGCAGTAATAAACTCCAGTAAGTGTTCAAAAATAAGTATGTAAAAATTTTAATGATTTGTTTTCCTCAAACTAGTTGTTGACAAAACTTACCATTTAAGTGTTCGGACAATTCGTTTCCAGTGTCGTCTTCTGTCTGACCAGTACTGACCATCATAAGAATTACTGCGTGAACTATCCACATCAATGAGTTCCACATTCTCTTTTATGAGGTGTTTGAACCTTTCTTCGAACCTAACGGTGTAAAGAGGTGGTTCTGTGACAGAACAGTACATTGAGCATTCTCCAAAATGGCTAAAATCTATATGTTTATCTTATGTGTGATTGTGACACACTTATACGGAAAGAAGAAATCGTGAACCCTAGACAGCTGTTGTAGTATATATGAGAAAGTGAACACGTGTTCTTTCACCAGAACCAGAGCCCACAAACATGTTAGAATAAATGTATTAAAATTGAAGTCTACTTTCAATTTGCTATAAGTTATTGTCATACAGTTATCGAACCATTGTTAAATCCCTTAGTTTATTTGGAGAAACCATCACTATTTTAATTAATGTAAGTCAAAAGTATAACTAATATTTTATTCAAAGTATAGCACGCAAAAACCGTTTTCATGTAAAAATTATAGTTCCTTGCATAATATGCAGCATTTGAATGAACAGAATGTTATGATATAATAATTAACATTATTTTCAAGGCTACCACTATAATATGCTGTTATATTCTATTTTGTATAAAACGTCTTGTACAGGGAGATTTTTTCTTAGTCATCATAAAATAGATATAATAAACGTTAAATAATTTTAGAGAACTAGTTCAATTATAGTTTAAAGTAAACATCATAATAAGAAACCATTTTGACAAATCAAGCTCAAAATATGCCATTATTCGAGTTATTAGAGCTGATGTGAGCTAATACAAATCAAAATTGCAATTGTAATTTGTGGGCACACAATTCGTTTTGTACCTTCTTAAATGCTAGACAGTTTTTCAAATATTCACTGTTGTAGGTCTATTTTCAATACAGAACATCAAACAAACTTCCTTTTGCCATGGTTATTCACGGGGTTGCCTGGGTCACATGTGTTCTTCCTTTAGAAGAATGACCTATGATATGGATAAAAGTAATCTATTCTAGCAGCGAACCATATATGATCAGTCTATTTTGTTTATTTTATGCTTTATTTAATTGTTGTAGTAAATAATGCAATCGTGCATTAAATAGGTTGTCTATTTAACCACAAGGGAAAACATTACATTATATACAAGATTCTCTCTCCTCAGTCGCACGTGCTATCCACGTAACTGAGGGCCACTCTCATGTCAACACACTACAGCCAATCTCTTTAAATCACCTCTACATGTTTCAACTGGACCATTCATTCATCTCCAGGAGAATCAATAAAGTTTTTCTTTGTTTACCTTATAAGATAGATATTCATCAGACTTGAGATTGACATAGTTTGCATTGTGTGATATCTTTGTTTAAGAAAATTTTATTTTATACTTGAGTTTGAGTTTAGCACTACTTAACCTCAAGCTTAATAGAGACAGAATTGTTACATTGATGGAAGAGCATCCACAAAGCCTTTTCTCCCTCTCCCCAGTGTTTAGAGTTAACTTTGATTGTGTTGTTTAACGTAATAAAAACTGTGATTGTTTGCAAAACTGTGTCCAGTCTATTTCTTTTGCGTAAAAACTAAGTCAAAGGTCGAGAGAACATGATCCTGATCTGCGATATAGTATTTGACAAATTCACCTCGTTTTGAAATTCCTGCAGGTTACTCTGGGGAAAATCAGGGCTATCTTAGAATACCACATAAATTTCATGCTATAATTTATATTACGTGTTTCATGATAATAATGTATTATGTAAAGCACATAAATTGTTTTTTTTTTCTGTTTAGTAAGATGAACATTAAAACATTTTGGCACATACATCTTTTTAGACGTTTGTGGTTTTCAACAAAACTTTGGTCAAGCAACGTGGCTAAACTCCTTTCACTTTAATTACCTATTGTTAGAGGTTAGCTCCTTTTATTGTTACATGCACTTTCTCACGTGAAAGGTTGCTGTATTGTACAGCACACTAACTAGTAAAGGTGGACAGTGATATTTTCTGTGTCGAAACATGTGACATGTAGAGTTTTAAAGTGAAAGCTGTTGACGGCCTTATTAAACTTTTAATCGTGTTAATGTAAATAGTTGCATTTTAATTATTTATTTGATTTTAAACATTACAAAAGTGCCGATCATTAATACTTATATATGAATATTATATAATAGTCATTTACCCATATACAAAATACAGAGATAAAACACATATCACATATCTTCTAAAACGCTAATCTGACGAGTATTTGCTCGTAAGACTGACATTTAGAGTTTTTCATATTGTTATTTATGAAGATTTCAGACTAGGAAATAGTGTAAATATAGAATAAGTAACGAAAAATGTTTTTGAGCTGTTTTTAAGTGCATAGTAAAAGATTTGTGCAATATATTTTTGCATGATTCTCAATGATAGAAATCTTTAATTCAGACATTTAATGATCTGTCAGTTCTAGAGTATTATATTATAAAACCAGGCTTCATAAGAATTATGAGACTGTACTAATAGAACTTTAAGCACGGCTTAATGTAACATTAAAACTGGCTTGAATTGAATCGAACTTGACATCAGATGATTTGTCTGACAGTGATGTTGTGGTATGTAAGTATACCACGCATTTCTATCTTCCTAGTTTTCTTTGTTTGTTTGTAATTAAAGACACAGCTACACAATTGGCTATCTGTGCTCTGCCCACCACGGGTATCGAAACCCGGATTCTTGCGTTATAAGTCCGCACACATACCGCTGTGCCACTGAGGGGCTTCTAGTTTTGATACAGTTTATTCTGTATCTCTGTGTAGGTTTTGCATAAAGAGTGGTCGAGAAAGTCGTTTAGTTCGTTCTCGCTGCCTTTGTTATCCTCTGGAAAGCGAAACTGCTGTAATGCTGTACATTGTACAAGAATGTCGACAGCATTGTCCTCCAACAGTTGATTAGGTGATATCTCAAGGTTGCGAACTCCCAAGTGTTTCAATAGGATTAACCGACAGTGATATAAGTGAAAGACCGAATGTATCCTGAAAATGTAACAATTTAGAATTTGATATTTAATGCTACGATCTGTGGATTAACTCACTCTTTCTCTTAAGTTCGAGTTCTCAGTGTGGAAGTGCAGTGTAAGTTTGTTCTTTGCAAACAGTTTGACCTGTAATGGTAACTAACTCTTACCAAACATCTTTTATATGTTGTTAGGAGCACTTAGAGAGTTAAGTAATATACTAAAAGTTCTGTCCTTCGTCCTAAATACACATTATGTTCTTCGTCCTAAATACACATTATGTTCTTCGTCCTAAATACACATTATGTTTTTCGTCCTAAATACACATTGTGTCATTCGTCCTAAATACACAGTATGTCCTTCGTCCTAAATACACATTATGTCCATTGTGTTTGAGTAAAGATAGCTTCATTTCGTTTTTGTACACTTATATCCAGTTTCTTTCTTTCTCAAACCCAGTCAAAGTTCTATATTTATTTTATAATTAATATCTTGTTGAACCTCACACTATTAAACAGACTTATTCCATTACTCTTAGGTTTACTCAGTTTTATCTGAATATACCACTTTTTTAAAGAACAACATAGAACCATATAACTCAACAATTCACCTCTCATGTGAATACCTTTTCTGGTATGTTTAGTTCTTTTTTACTTCATTGTAGGCCAAATTCTACGATAAAGAGGATCGCTTGAATAATAAATGATTTGCAGTTTTCAGACAGTTTAAGTCTGTGTATTTCTTTGCTTGAATTATTTTAGTGTAGTTCATAATTTATCCTGCAGATCCGTCATAAAGCAAACTTATCCAATATTCTTTGAAGAAATCAGTTAAATCTGAGAATACTCTAATGGAAAGATACCATTGAAGGCACACCAGACCTATCTTCAAATAATTTCAAAAGTAAATAAATGAATTAAGTAGTGAAGAACTAGCTATTTATTTTGCTGTTCATTTAAAATGACTAGCTTTAACAACATCAAGAAAAAAAATCCAACAGAAATCCATAAAACCCATGGGGCGTTGATGGCTTTCTTATCTCATATATTTTTTTAAATGTAACATCAGATGGAATTTCTGAAGCGAAGTTTAGGAGCAGAGAAAGCAAAAATGGTGAGACCTTCGCTAAACGTGTTAAATATGTGCAACGACTTATTTAATTGTCTTATCCAGATGCTTCTTTTGAAATGATGGATTCATTCATATATTACTAATTCATATATGGCATAGTGGCTGAGAATATGTGAATTAGTCTAAGGCAAAGTATTTGTACATCTTTAAAGGAAACTCTGCAGTTGGCAATGGAAATTGTATCAGTTAAAGTGACAGATAAGAAATTAAAAGCATAATCCAGGAATTATAAGATTGTCAATGAAATAATGTGGAAACATCAACTCCCTCTGGAAAATGTCTAGTATATCGCAATAGATTAATTTTACATCTAGTTACTCAGAATGGATGAAGTAAACCACAGAACAGTACTTTATCCACATTTCAAAAAGATACATTGCAAAGAACTGCAGACAAAAATCTGTAAGACATAAAAATTGCTTCCAAAAGACGAAAAAAGGGATCTGCTATAAACATGGGAAATATGTACATTGCAATCGAAGCTGTAATGAATTAAAAGATGATATTAACCAAGGAGATGATACGCTGAGAATGAATCCCCGAGCCCAAATAGGGCAAAAGAATAACAAAGACCTGACCAGACATTGAAAAACTGGACTTTTTCTGGACTTATTGGACGAAGTTCGATTGAGAATAATCAATATATCTCAACTGTGATAAGGAATACGTTAGTTAATAAAATCAGTCCACAAGTTAATGGATACACTGGTCGAAAGCCTTGCAACATGTTGATGGGTATTGGTTCTACAGCCCTACTGTTAGAATTGACCTGGTAATGAAAAGCAGGAAATTGCTGCCAGAGATGAAGCAAAAGTGTTAGTAATTGAAATCAAGAGAGACTACATATTGAGAATATACTTCAAGTAGAAACATGGATACGAGCTTGGACTTGTTTCAAACAGCTTCAAACATGACCACAAAATCCTTGTATACTACATAATAGTTACAACACCAGAAGTCGAACTTTCAGACACTAAGGAAGACAGTAATAACACCAAGAAGCGAAATACTCATACTAGAATTAGTTAGGGACAGCTTTAGATCTGGTGCTTGGGGTGTCAAAGAACAAAAAACTCCATATTTTCCTGAGAAATTATTGGCTGGAATAACTCTAGTGGATCTGAAGAATAAGGATGTCTGACAGATTATTACGAAATGTGAAATTATACAAGTAGTACTTCCACACCAAAGAGCACCTGAAGTAGTTACTTTTTCAAAAAGTTATATATGAAGTCTGATGTTACATCTTCACATAAGGGAAGCTTACCACATCATTTATAGAAACAGAGCTGTGAAAGTCTTACAATGGCTCAATGCCACAGACTACCAAATCTACTCATAGAATACAAAGATACCTTCTCCAGTGGACTCTATGACTTGGGTCAAACAAATAAAATATCTCATATTATATAAAATGGAGACATGGCGCAATACTTCAATTGGTTAGATGACTCCAAGCTGCAAAAAAAAACAACTCCCATAAAAAAATAGAAACCATGAAAGACCAAGGACTAAATGAGCCAAGTACTATTCCTTTGGCATCATTAATTGTATTTTGAAGAAAAATGATGAATTCACAAAGTTGTATGTGGACAACTGGTAGGGATATCTGTGTTTTTTTTTTCAGATTGTCCTAATTTCCCTCAGAGTAGTCTGCAGGATCTATAAGATAACAAGAGGATTCAACAGATACTATTTCACAGAATGATGCATATATTTCTCTATTTCTGGTTGAATCTTTACAAGAGGGAGACTGAACTCAAGAATGTAAACAGTCATTACCTTTATTATAAACATTCAAAGCCAGTTAACACTTGGTCAAGTGCTCTTCAACTAAAGAGAGAGAGAAAAAACTTTAGGTAAACCTTTGAACTGTGAACTTTATTGGTGTGTGCCTGCTGTATTTCTCGCTCTCTCAAAATCTATATGGTTATGTTGAACCAAATCTCATTTAATCTCTTTGTACAAATCTGGAAATATATCAAGTTTCTCAATGTCTGTGAAACTGGCAGCCTTTATCAGCAAGTAACAATCTAGTAATCTATACAGATAATACAAGGTTTTCTCTCCTCAGACACACATACACTATCCACTTGACTGAAACTGAAGGCCACTATCATTTCAACAAGGGATGTCACACCTTTGGCTATTTCATGGCTCACCAGCAGAGTAAATCACTCTTCCTATCTATATTATATTTCACGCTACATTAATATACGCTAATGAAGAACATCTGTGATGCCTTCGTTTACTCATCCAGTCCTGTGAATAACCAACCCAATAGAAACTTAGTGATCCCTTTGATTAATGTTCTATATTAAGAATAAAATCGGAAATACACTGAAGATTCGAAAATTTTATCCAGTGACATGTCACAATCCAAAAAGGAGCAGTGTTGTATGCTATGTTTTAGACGTATTATTGTTGATGGGTGTGGCTTAATGACTGGAACTTTCTTAAATGTTTGGAAAACGATATGATCAGTATAAAAACAAATGTTACGCTAGAGTAAAGAAGGGTTGATTATTAACTTTATTAGCCATTTACTCAGTTAGTTCAGTTTTATGACAATTGAGTTTGTGTTTCGATGAAGAAATCCATATTGGAGAAGATTCCGCAAGTGTTGAAGAAGACAGAAAGTAAATTAAATTATTATTTAAGGTTCTAATGTGAACTTAGGTCTATCAGAAAACATTAACTAACTTCTACAAAGTATAGAACTTGCAATCTAAGAAATCGTTTTCGTTATCATTAATTAAATGGACTGCAGTCACTGGATTTTGCATTTTTCTTTTTTCCTGAGTAATCCAAAAGAACTAACACAACAATGGAAATCATTATAACATGAATACTAGAACTAACGACTATTTTAGAAAGAGTCTTTTATCTTCCAGTTCAACTCCACAAATGACACAACATGTTGTCTAACTAGACAAACAAAGTTATTATACAAAAGCTAAGTATATTTGTATTTAGCTTTTGTATAGTAGCTTTATTTTTGTATATTTCTTTTATTTTTTCTCTTATAATCACGCTGTAATGAAAATCAAAAATGTTTCCTTACATGCCATTAGTTGTGTTGTTTTTAATGCAAAGCTACACAATAAATTATATATATATATATATATAT